TCTGGGACTCAGAGGGCTTCTTGAGTCGGTGAGGGAAGGGGTAGCACACTTTCCATGAGAACAACAATTCTCTCAGGCCAGGTAGACTGTGCCGGAAACAGCAGAACTTTGGTCCCCTCTCCTCCAGGGGGTGCCCTTGGCCTCAGAGGCCTGCTAAAGTACTCCTGCCTCTCTGAGGACCAAGGCCACCTAAGTTAGCACTTTTTTCTCCCCACTATGAGCCTGTTCATCTCTGGTCTCTGTCTCCCTTGTTCTAGGAAGCCTGTCCAGCCTACTAAACTGGCTTGTTTCTAACACTTTTCTGTCATCCTCAGACACAAACTGTTCAGGGAGGGCTGCAACTGACCAGTAAACATGGCTCAGCTCAGACCATGGACCAAGTTTTGGGCTTGGTACAAGAAGAAGCTAAGGCTCAGGTGCAAGCTCTGGCTTGTCCACCTCCCTCCCCACAAGTGCCACCCTTCCTCTAAGGCCAGAGCAGTTCTCACCTTCTGGAATCTGAAACCCTCTCTCTCACCTTTCTTTAGAACTTACATTAATCATGGACAGGCTTTAGACATTTCTTATACATTTGAGTTGGATTTGGATAGTGGTTTCGCCCCACTAGCATTCTGAGGAAAACTTTCATAAGCTGAAATGGTGTAAAGCGAAGAGATAATAACCATTAACTCATATGGAAAAAATTTTGAGCGGTCCCAGATCCAAAAAACAACTTGCCAAACCATACCAAATCTGTTCAGTTTTGTTCCCATACTGGGAGTTGAACCATGGGCTGCCTGGTTGAATATTGTGTTCAGTTTTATGCTAAACATAACAAGCTCTCTTTAGCTTTTCTCATACCTGAGGACACATCTTGCTAATGGATGCACAAAATAAATCTAGATAAAGTATAGATGCTCACAGACACAGTTGAAAGCTATGACGCTTGACGCTGAGATGCTAAATGTAGTTCCGGGGGAGGAGCTGCAGAGGAAGGGCCCCTCACGCTGCTCCGGATGCCCAGCCTCAATAAGGGTTTGATGCAAAACAAATGCCGAACGCTATTTTCCTTTTTGCCTCTTTTCATAAAAGCAAAAATCTTCTTCAAATTTCTTTTGGTTAGCTAAAACAGATGTTAATGTAGGTCTTTTGTAAAAGCAAAGTGGTGTAATGCAAACTTTCAAAAAGCAGGGATACCTGTATTTGTTTTCAAAGCCAATGGTAAAAAATTCATATAGTGCAGACGCTGAAAAGGAAGTTGCCTTCCCATCTGCGACGCTTAGTTCTCTTCTGAAAAGCATATCTCTGACACATTATGGTGACCTCTCTCTTGTTTTTATTAAAATCAATTCTGAAAAGAAATTCAAATAAAGGAAATATTGCTTTACAAAAAGTTACTAAGTGTGAAATGAAACACACAGGAAAGATATTGCATACAGGCTACTTGGAGAGATTTTCCTTGAGTGGAGAATGGACTGGGTGAAGCTTCTTGAAATATGTTTCCAGTGACATTGGAATTAAGGAAGTTTTGCTTCTCTGCTTGATTCATTTCCCTCTAAAAACACAGACGTTTTCCTCTGCACAGAGGCCTTTTAAAATAGATATATATTTCACATAAAATTCATTAATTTAAAGTATACAATTCAATGGTCTTTTGTATTTTTTTAGAAACTAAAAAAAGAATTTGTTTATTGAGGGCAAGAGGATGCAATCTAAAAATCAAAAGCTTATCTAGCTTTAATTGACTCCTTTCTCTTGTCAAACAGGGGTGGGATTTTATTTGTACATTTTCTAAGGGTCCCAATCTGCTCATGAAATCCTTATACGGGGGAAGCTGTGAGTCAGTGATTCTCCCAGGGGTCTCCAACTCCCAGGCCACTGACCAGTCAGGTCCCTGGCTTGTTAGGAACTGGGCTGCACAGCAGGAGGCCAGAGGCAGGCGAACAAGCAAAACTTCATCTGTATTTGTTGCTGCTCCCCTATCATCACTGCCTCAGCTTCACCTCAGGTCATCAGGCATTAGATTCTCATAGGAGCACCAGTCCTGGTGCCAAAAAGGTTGAGGACCATTTGCAACCCTTTGGGAGAACTCTTACCAGGGTGGGAGTAACTGCTCAATGCTGCCTACTTCTTTCCCTTCTACTTCATGTATACTACAAAATAGTCATTGCACATAATGGTGAACCCAGTAATTAGTGAAAAGTAGCTCTGGAAGCCTATTTTGCTATCTCAGCACTGGTGCTGGTCCTTTATTATTCTGTCCCCGGTCTTTTTGATATTCCAAAAATCCAGGGAACTCCTTTTCCACGAATACTCTCAGGTCTTCCTTTGTTAAGTATCCTTTATCCCCAGCAAATCTGTGAAATGTGAAAACCATATATTCTACGGTGTGTTCCATTTGAGACAACATTTTGGTGAGGTCTGTTGAAACCTTGGCAAGAGGCATGGTGGGAAAGCTCAACTGGCTGGGATGCGCCGCCAGCGAGTTCTTTAGTATTTTTACAGAATTATGCAATCACCATCACAATAAAATTTAGAACACTTTCATCATCCCAAAAAGAAGTCCTGGACCCATTAACACCCCATTTCCCCCCAAATCTCCTTGCCCTAGGCAGCCACTAATTTACATTCTGTCTCCATAGATTTCCCTATTCTGGACACTTCATATAAATGTAATTGTGCAATATGAGATCCTCTAGGCTTCTCTCACTTACTCTAATTTTTGAAAGGTTCATCCATGTTGCAACATGTATCAGTACTTCATTCCGTTTTATAGATGAATAATAGTCCATTGTATGGAAAGACCACATTTTACTTATCCATTCATCAGTTGTGGACATTTGGGTTGCGAATAATGATACTGTAAACATTTGTGTACAAGTGTTATATGAACATATGTTTCCATTTCATTTGAGTACATACCTGAGTGGAATTGCTGGGTCATAAGGTAACTCTCTAATCTTTTGAGAGACAGCCAGACTCTTTCCAAAGTGGCTGCACCATCTTACAGTCCACCAGCAGTCTATGAGAAATTCTAATTTCTTCACATCCTCACCAATACTTGTAATTATCTGTCTTTTTTATTCTAGCCATCCTAGTGGGTGTGAAGTGGTATCTCATAGCAGGTTTGGATTTCCCTGGTGGTTAATGATCTGAAGACTTTTTATAAGCTGCTTTTGCATTTCGGTTTGTCTGTTCAGTTGTCATTGTCACCTAATGTGGTGTGCCTCTGAAACACTTGAGGGTCCTCATTTACTCTCCAATTTTCCCCCAAGAGTACAGTCATGCCCTCTGCATTGTGATTATGGTTAGCCACCCAGTTATTCAAAGCCTGGGTGCTGGGAATTGTTCTGGGTGCTGGTGATACAGCAAAAACAAACAAACACAAGATCTCACCCGTTGGAGAGTTTGGTGGGTAAGGGTGTGGCTCTGGATTTAAATCTTCACTTTGTCACCTCCCAGCCATATGGCCTTGGACAAAGTGCTTAACCTTGCCTAGCATCAATTTCCTCATTTATGAAATGAGGTTGCTTTGAGAGTTAAATGTAAAGCACTTAGCAGTGTCTGGCACACAGTGAGTGCTCAGTAGGCTTTTGTTATTGCTAAAGGTGAAGCCAGACAATTAATAAATGTTAACAATAGTGGATAATGAGTTATGATCAGAGAAGTACAAGTATCATGGGAATACATAGTGGAGACCCCCAACCCAGTCCAGGGTCTAGGACAGGCTAACCAGAGAAAGTGATATTTACATGGAGAGTTGACAAATGAATAGGAGTTGACTGGAGCAAGGGTAGTGTTTGTGGTGGGGGAGTGTGGAGAGGGCGGGTTCCTGGCAGATAGAACAGCTTGTGCAAAGGCTCAGAGGCAACAGAAGAGAGACTGAAATGTCTTCAGAATATCTAGAATAGTCCTGTCCAATAAAATTCTCTGTGATGTTGGAAAAGTTCTATATCTGTGCTGTGCAATATGGTAGACACTAAACAACCACATGTGACTATTGCACATTTGAAAAATGGCTAATGTGACTGTAGAATTAAATGTATAATTTTGTTTTATTATAATTGATTTAAATTTAAATAGCCACTGTGGCTAGTGACTACCATATAGACAACATAGGTCTAGAGTGTAACACGCAAGACAGGGTTGCAATGAGAGCTGAAGGTGGAGTGATGGAGAAGGGCATCCAGATTGCACAGGTTTGTGGTGTGGAGTTTGCATTTTACTCTAAGCACCCAGAGAAACCATTAATTGGAGTAGGAGAGTTAAGCCAATAAGTGAGGTGATCTGGTTTTCATTTTTTGGAAGATCACTTCAATTTCTGTAAGGAGAATGGATTCTGAGGATGAGCGTGGGCAGGAGTGATGCAGGGAGACCAATCTGGGGGTAGCTGCAGTGTCCCAGGGGAGAGAAGTTAGTAGCGGCTTGGACCAGGCAAAGATAGACACAAATTTGGTTAAGTTTGGTGCGTGTGTGTGTGTGTGTGTGTGTGTAGACGGGTTGCTGATGGTTTGGATTTTAGGGTGTGAGGGAGAGGGAGGTGTGCTAAGGCTGCTTGGATGGTAACTGTGTCCCCAAGCCCCAAGGTTGAGTCCAAACCAGGGCAATATATGCAGGCCTCCCTGTCTCCTCCCCCTTGCTGGTTGGTGCTGGAAGCGCCTTTAACTAGGGGAAATCTGGAGTCCTCTCAAACTGTTGGGTGGATGGGGTGCATCCTAGGGACCTGTACTGGGCTGACCTGAGCCTCTCCTTTCCCTGGGGGCCTTCCGCATCTGCTCTCTCTGCCCTGCGGTGGGTCAACCAGTTCCCAATATGAGCCACATGGCTGTTAGGAGGCATGCAGCGAGGAAGGGGAGAGGGAGGTGTCAGTGTGTCAGTGTAGTGGGGAAAGACTCCCCCACCCATGCCAGCTCCCAGTAGAAGTAAGGCCCCAGTACCCAAAGATTGCCTCTGATTGCCCCTACGCCCATCTGGGGCCTCAGTGGCTAGACGGTAGGGGTGGAGTGCGGTGGAGGTGGAGAGGCGGGGCGTGTTTCTCCGAGAGCTGGATGTGGCCACTGGTCCACTTGGCCAGTCCCTGGTAGCCAGCCGGTCCTGACTGGGGAGTTAACCCCTACTCTCCACCATGCATGCTGGCCAGGTGGACTGAGTGAGCGGAACGCCGAGAGACCACAGCCCACCAGCCCGAGCTCGGAGAGGCTGGGGAGGTAGGTGCTGCGGCTTCGGGGCTGTCAGCACTCACGTCACCTCCCGGCTTCACTTCCTCCCGCAGTCCTCGCCGCCTCTGAGGCTCGGGGATCCCAGAGCTCGCAGCCAGCGACCGCCACGCCCTAGCTCAGCCGTGCGGGGTAAGTCGACCGGCAATTCCGGGGGCGTCTGAGGGTCCTGGCCCTCAAGCCTGACAGTGAATGATCCGGGCGGGGTCCGGGGCGGGGTCCCGGGCGGGGTCCCGGAGTAGGCTCCTTGCTTCTCCAGCCTTAAGGCGGGGCCTGCATGGGGCTCCTGCTCTCTCTATCTGGACTGTTAGATCCCTTCCTTCTCAGCCAGGGGTAGTGGGGGCTCCAGGAGGGTGGCAGGGGCTGGACAGACCGCTGTTGCTGCTGAGGTTTGGGAGTGGTGGGCTGCGGAGACAGCCAGGGAGGCAGAATAGGGTGAGGGTGGAAGACGTGTCAGCTAGCTAAATAGTGTCTGTCCCCGGAAGGACGCCCCAGGGTGGGCAGAAAGATGGTGGGTCAAGACTGCATGTTGAGGCAGTCAGCCAGGTCCCAGCTTCCCCTGCTTCCGTGAGAAAGTGCCCCACCCAGGTTCCCCAGGGATGTGGGAGCCCGAAGATAGACAAAGAGGGCCTGGGTTGCCACCATCCCACCCTCTCCACTTTCCATTCCTGTGCCTTTTCTGCTCCCTGCCCCCACCCCCTTCGTCCACGCTGCTGTCTCCCCACCCATCTCTGACTCTTTTTCTTCTCTCCGCTCCTACCCACTGAGGGGGACAGGGACTCCCTACCCCCTACTGTGGCTCACCGCTTGCCATGCAATGGGGCTGTGTTTTCAGTTCTCCAGGGAGGGCGAGATAGTGCTGTCAGCTGAGCTACCAGAGCCTTGCCTAGGGCCCGAGGTGGGGCTGCCTGTCAGAGGGTGCTTGAGCAGTCAGCAGGGTGTCTCCCTCCCCACTCTGAAGCCTTTGAGACCCTAAGGCACAGACTGGTGGCATTAAGTGCGTTCAGAGATGAGTCAGACTGAAAATATAGATGGGCCCCAAAAGATTTTGAGAACTGAAGAGGAACGTCATAATAGGGTGAGGTGGTCTTAGACCAGGCTCTGCCAACAGCTGGTGACTTCAGGAAGGTCACTTCCCCTTTCTGAGCCTTAGTTGTCCTGGCAGCAAAATGAGGGGTTTGATAGAACAGTGGTTTTTCCAAAGGTTTCCCCCAGCGTACCCCCTCTGTGGTTAGAAGTTGAGTGACCCTCCCCCACTCCACAACTACACTTTTATCTGTTGTGAATATGATCACTGGGCAAGGTGTCCTGTAGAGAAAGAGTTGTTCTGTTAACACCAATGTTTGTTACCGCTGGACCAGGGGCTGTAGTCTCTCAGATATCAGGAAGTCCTGGAGGAAAAGTCAGAGACAATCACGGCCCTTCTTGTGGGACAATGTTGAAGAGGCAGACCTATTGGATCCCTGTTCCTACCCGCCTCCCAGGACATTGGGCTATTCTCATGCCAGGAGCATCCCTCCCTCTCTTCACCCTCTGCTTTCTTCTCTCATCTCACTCTCATTTTTGTTGAGCTGAGCTCTGCACCCATGTGGGTGGTTCTACTTAGCTTCTAAACCTCTCTTTCTGCAGCCCCAGCCAGACATCCTACTCCTACCTGGCTCTGGGAGGAAGGAGGGGACTCTAACATCTCTGTCTCCACAGAGGTTCCAGCTGGATAGAACAGGCCCCAACCCTTAGGATGAGCTCGCCCTCCAGCCCTCCTGCTTTCAGGCTGGAGACATTCGATGGAGGTCAAGAAGATGGTGCTAATGTGGACAAAGGAAAGCTGGGCTATGGAGATGGGCCACCCCCCATGGAGTCACCATTTCAGGGCGAGGACCGGAACTTCCCCCCTCAAATCAAAGTGAACATCAAATACAGAAAGTGAGTGGGTGCCAGGTGAGGCAGCAATTGGGGATGCAGCCTGGCATCAGACTAGATGGCTGGACCCAGCTCCAGTGCCCCTTCCCCACGACCCGCAGGGTCCTCGGTCTGACTCTGATAGCTCCTGGGCCCAACAGGCTGAACTCTGCTGTGCTCTGCTCTCTGGGGTTGCTCCTTCTGGAACATCCCCTATTCTTGGTCTATTGCTTTCTGAGGTCATACTCTTCTTCATAGAGACATGCTCCCCCAGCTCCAAGTACTCAACTGACCCTCTCATCCCTCTTGTTTGTGCCCTGGCCCCCACCCTGTCATGGTCCCTGTGACAGAAGGTAGCAATATCCACACCCCAGTTCAAGGAGAGAGTCAAGGACATCTGAAAATTGCTGGGTTCTCTCCAAGGCTGAACCTGTTGCCCAGGGAATGTAGACTCTGGGGACTGTGGACGGTGGCTTCTGCTGGGAGTCATCTTCACTTTGATTTTCCTGTGATCTCTACTAGTTCAGACTGTGTGAGCCCACTCTTGCTGGGAGTGACACTTCCAGCCCTGTGGGTGTGTGTGTGGATGCACCTGGCATCCCCTTCAGTGTGAGGTCTGACATACAAAGTCTGACCAGGAGAATCCTCATGGTCCAGGTGAGACTTCCAGGGAAGTCCCCTTGTTCCTCTTCATGCCCAGGATGTAGCCACCAGCCTTGGCCTTCCAGCCTAGAGCCCCCTATACTGTTTCTGCTGGGGACCACGGTCAAATTCAGACCAGAGCAGGGGAAGATGTGTGTGAGGCTTTCAGAAGTTGGGTAGCCTGCCTGGCAGGCAGAATGGGCCCCTTGAAACCCTTCAGTGTCTCAGTTTGTGCCCTTGTGGGACTTCCCTACCCCAAGACTGTAATGTCACCTTGTGAAAGGAAATACTTTGTCCAAATAGCCACTTCCCCTGGATGGACTATCCACAGTGCTCTCTAGTCAGCCCGCAGAGCCCTCTTGGTCATGTTGTGGCCACGTGGTCTGCTGGGCAGATGATGGTGCATCTGGCCAGGCCAGGCAGATATGCAGCTTCCTGTTGTGGAGGAGGCAAGGCTTGCCCTACCAGTCACGTGGATACAGCTTAAAACATGACTGATTCCAATAATCTCCTCACTCAACAGAGTTGACAACCCTTACTTGGTTGACTCATTTCACAGGAATCATGAAGCTAGGGCCTGAAGGTCTATAAAGTGTCAAATAGCCCCTGCCCCACTTTATTTGAACCTTCATATCTTTGTTGGTCATGGTTCTAGAAGCCCCAGGGATGAGCTTGTCTCTGTAAATAGTGACCTGCCTAGGAGGGGATACTCCTTCCCCTTCTCTGTCACCAGACACTGCTAGATTATGAAGAGCTAAAAGGCCCCTTCTGGGACCTTTTCCAGAAGTGTGGCTTCTCAATAAATCTCCAGTAAGCATCTGATAGGTTTCAGCACTGGGCCCACATGTCTCTGAGAAACCTCTGTCTGGCCAGCCTAGAGTATCTCTGGCTGGGAGTTAGTTAGATAGCCCCCATGGGAGCCTGGTTCTACACCTTGTGACTTTGGGGAAGTTACTTTATCTTTTTGTTTGTCTAGTGGAGAAAGTAGTGATTCCTGACCCCGGGGCTGAATGAAGGTTAAAGGAGCAGATACTCATTATTAGTCCATAAATGGTTTTTGAGAGGATGAGGGGCTTTTCTTGATTTTTTTTTCAAGGCCAGTGGTACATATAGCACCTCCAATAGCTCCTTCTCAACTTGGACCCCAGATCAGGAGCCATGAAAAATTCCTGTACTGAAATTGACCCTGTGGGATAATGAGCCTATTGCAAGATCATCAAGGCACCTAGCAAATGATAAACACCTGATGCTGAGAAACATCTGTGATGCTTGGAGCCATGGCGATGCTGTGGACTAGTGCACTGGACAGCCCCCGCACCCGGCTCTTGGGGCTCTGAGCACTTGGGATCTCCTTGGTTTGCCCTGGAAGAGCAGAGGCCCTCAGAAAAGCTCCCCTAGGGCTCCTGGACCTCTGGGGTGCACAATGCTCACAGGGCTCCCTAAAAGGGCTCCCTGGGATGAGGAGCTTTCTGGGGGACCCATGCTATTCTGCAGCATCAGTCACAAACCACATTCCTGCAGCCAGCCAGACCCAAACCGCTTTGATCGTGACCGGCTCTTCAGCGTGGTTGCCCGGGGTGTCCCTGAGGATCTGACTGGGCTACTAGAGTACCTGCGCCGGACAAGCAAGTACCTCACCGACTCGGACTACACAGGTAGGACTGCCCTACAGGCTAGAGCCACCGTGTCCTGCCAGCTATGCTGAGATTGGGCTGGGTGGGTGAGCCTTGACCATGGTCAGGATCCAAGGGACAAATGTTCTTTTTCTTTTTCCTTTTTTTTTTTTTTTTTTTTAAAGGGGCAGTCCTTTTGCCCAAATTGGTGCGAGGG